TCTCGGCCAACGAGACAAGAATGATGTAAATGCAAATCATTAACCCGCGGTTTCAACTATCTCGATGACTTCTGCTTAGCGCCGCCTCCCTCCGTCGCTGCCCGGAGCCGGGACCCACTCCGGCGCCGTGGCATGCCACTGCGGCCGGCCGGCATTTCGACTGCGGCTTCAATACGACACGGATCGTTGGGACTTTGCCACAATGAGTGTCTAGTTTCGAAGATCATGAGCCCAACAGTGCAAGAAGAAGATCTTTTTCTGCCTAGTCCTCCGTATTCCCCCAGGTGGCTACGAGAAACTGGATACTAGGGGGAACGTTCGCAATCAAGGCAGAGATGCATCACTCACAATCTGTAGCAAGTCGCTGGGTAGCAGCGCTACTGCCTCTTGTTCGGCATCAACACAAAAATGCACGCCATGAGAGCATAAGCGATGCAGCTGCCAAAACTGCTTTCAGCTGATCTCCAGCACGCACGACAAAGAAATCACAGACAAGCGTCCAATCTAGCACAGCTAGATGCCGAGAAGGACTTTACCTCTTGCAGCACCCCCTACGTCCGCCAACTCGTCATGTGTTTAGCACAAACTTTTTTTCTTCGCAACAAAAACGCCTCTCCCTCCCTTGTTCTGCAGCGCCAAGCGGCCACGAGACCGCATCTCGCACACATACCGAGAACGGCCCGGCGGCCGAAAGATAACTACCGAGTTAGTTTCAATGCAAGTCGGTGTCTGGGATTGGCGCGTGGGTGGTGACCAGCCGGTCGATGGAGAGCTATGCGCTGGCAATCCAGGTCATCCCTTTTGGATGCCAGCAAACGAGGAGGGTGCCACACAAGACACCTCACACAGTTCCAGGCGCCGCCGTTCTTGGTAGCCTTACGGCAGGCTGGCGGGAGAGGCTGGACGGGTGGCCGAGGGCTTGGTGAGTGGGTGAGCCCGGGCACCGTGGAATGCTGTGGCGAAAAAGAAGTGAAATGTCTCACAGGGCACATCCACGCAAGGGTTCATTGCGTTCCTGGTGTGCGCACAGCTTCTCTTCTAATGGGGGACCGTGAAAGACACGGCATATTCTCAGGGCTCCACTGACAACTCAGGGTCTTTGCTTTGGCCAAGTCGCGCGAGATTCAAGCAAAACAAAAGGGTACCGGATGAAGAAAGGGCCAGCCGTCACATCCCTGATGATGCCCCGTCCGTTAAGACATGCACATGGCCCAATATCGGTCACTTTTATCTATTAATTAGTAGCACATTTTTGCTTTTTCTTTTTACGCGATTAAAGGGAGAGCAAGGCGGGTACCAATGACAATGCCAGCCCCAGATGGTGGGCTCAAAAGTTGGCCGCCTGGGCAAAAGAGAAGCTTCTCTGGAGCTTCGATTGTTGGCATCTAATTTTTTTCATTATTTCATCATTATTTCATCATTTATTCCTCTTTTCGTATCTCGCCCTTGACAATCGGGTCATGATCAGGGTCCTTTGCCCACTTGTTCCCACTGCTCTGCCCTACTTACTCTATTCTGGAATTTTTCTTTTGTTCGACGTCATCAATAAGACACGACAGCGCCCGCCAAACCGTGCCGTTCGTTGTTGATTTTACTTTTTGCTTTTTTTTTTTGGCCTTCTCTTGCTATTTCGATATTGACGGGGTGACCCATGCTTCTTTGTAACACCAGAAATAGATTGACTGCGCGCCCGCAGGAGCCCAAGTCGGAAAAACAAAAACAAAAAAAAAAGAAACCAAAAAAGTTCGTCGGACAAATTCCTTCGCTTGTAGAAACAATCGGGCGAAGATGGGGAAACCAACGTCTCAGAGAGGAACATCAAGGACGAAAGCAAGGGGAAAAAAAAAAGACAAGACAAGATCCAACGCATTTCATTCCATCTTGCCAAGGCATTTTTGGCGCTGTGACGTTGTGCGAGACATGCACAAGCAGGACCCTTATTATTTGCCCCCTACGGAGACCAATATTTGCAATCCAGATCTTGACAGGTGATAGATAATAGTTATTCGTAGCGCATTTCAACTGACTAGTTGACTACTGGGAATATACGCAGTACCGTAATACGTGCCCCACGACTTCGTATATCAGGTGCCGTGCTGCTTGTTATGCGCATTGCAGGCAGCGACCTAAAGGACCACACCACACGATGCCTGACGCAAAGACGTCACTGTCTGTTTCATCTTCGTCCCTTGTTCCTCGGCATGTCCACATGTGATCAGTTTTTTTTTTTTTCTTTTTTCTTTCTTTTGCGTTTTGTCTTTTTTGCCGTTCAAGATGACGCTCTGCCGGCGGTCAAGGCCTGAACACGAGTCGGTATAGATGACACTACCCTGGAACTTGCCTGGTCAGCATCGCAAAGTCAAGTTGGACGGCAACTATCGGGTAGTAGTTGCCTATCGGTACTTGCCGGTGGTACATGTGGCTCCAGACAAGTTAATGATTTTGACAAGCCAAGCCCATAAAGATTAGGTTGACTAGTGTTGATAATGAGTCTCCCAAGCTCGCAGTTGGACTAATAAGCCAACTATCTATCACCCCCAAGACCTCAAATCTTGTATGAAGTAAATAGAATGGATCAATAGCTCCCTGATAGCCTCCCAGCCATCAACTGGCAACTGCCGCCTTGCTCATCACATCACCACCACCACCACCGCCAGCCACCATCCCCACGAGTTTGCCATGTTGATCCCCTCGCACGGCCTCACCTTCCAACCACTGAACTGCCTTTGATCTATCATCAACCCTCAAGTGCTCAATCAATCATACTTTCATCCACCAAGCCCACCTTCACTGCCGCCATTCCCCGGGCCACCAAACTCCTCGCTAACCAAAACGCCACGCATGAGCTGAACAAAGCTTGCTCAGCGGGCCGTGTTTCGCCAGCTTTTCCTAATCCAACAATGAGGTGAGGCTTTCAGCACCCAACCAATCACAAACCCCCCCTCCATCAGCCTCCTTCGAGTTTCGACTAACGAAGGCCCTCCATGACAGCAATGCGAACGCGTCGCCGCAGTCCCCTTGCATATTATGCACATGGAGAAGCGCCCGTCCAGAGCGCCCGTACAGCGCAAGGCCCGTGAACCAGTAAAAAGGCGCCGCAGGGATTGGATTGAAATCCTGGGGGAACGAGGCAGGACCAGGCAGCGGTTTTAGCGTTTCAATAGTGCCCGGCCCATATGCACACCAAAAGCCTTGAACGCTTGAACGGGTGGTTTATGCTGACATCAAACCGGCGATCTGGCATGACGCCTCTATTCAAACGTTGCTTTTGATGTCTCGTTCCAGAATTTTTAGATTTTTGGTTTCTTTTTTTTTTTTCCCTTACTTCTTTGTGTGAAACCTTGGCCAAAACGACTTGCCACGCGAGAAGGGCAAGCCACCTCAACAGTCGGGCGTCTTTGTAATTCCTTTTTCAAAGCCTTCCTTCCACGGGCTTCACGGCTCGGTTATGCAGCATTGTATGATGCAATCCACAGATGCCCGCTCTCAATGGCCGGAGCTGGGATCCCGCCCGCCCTTGCATGGCAGCCACGTTTGGCAGCAACAATTTTAGCTCCATCGAGATGCAAGAAATTCAAAGCCCATGGGTATCCGCCGGGCCAAATTGCAATCAATGTGTTGAGGCAAAAAGCAGAGGTCTGTCCACCAAAACCTGCAAGGACATGCCTGCCATTGGACTTGGTCACCCAGTTTTCTGGGGACCAAAGAGAGACCCTGTAATCTCAGCATGAATCTCAATGACACAAAAGTGAACCCGTGCAGCTCACCGCCAATAATTCGCATTGAATGCACGTCCGCTGCACGCGCGTGCACCGCCTCGGCCTGCTGTACGACGTGAGGAAGCCCAGGACAATTCCCGCGCACATGATATTATTGGCCTCTTTTCTTTTCACGTTATTCTATGTTTGACTCACTTCGTCCAACAGCCGTCGTCGTCGTGGCTGAGTCTCTCCGTGCGCGCCGGCAAACCAGATGACGATGCTTTGACGCTGCGTATTTGCTTCTCTCCCAGCGTCAAGGCGTGCTACACCGCATGCATCCTCCTGCTTCCCGCAGGTGGCTGCTTTGTTCCAATAACACGTACTCGTAATCGATATTCAAGCATGCACGTTTTCAATATCACCTGTCATATTGAGGTTTTTCGTCACAGCGGAGCCTCCGGCGTCAGAGAGTAAGACGTCTGGTGTAACCAACAGACTGTCACTGCATTGAGCCCGTCCACCAAGGAAAAAGAAAAAAAAAAGGAAAAACTGAACGGGATCTAGAAGCGACAGTGACGTATTGTTTGGTGAGTCGGTCATCCATGCTACAACAGCGCTGTAAAACAACTTCTCGTCGAAAGTCCTCGGATGATTCATCAGCTCGTGTTGAGACAACAATGTTTCCAGCCTCAACACGACACGTGTACAACTCAGCTTATCCCGCAAAACAATCCAATTATAGCCCAAATTACACAACACCGTTTTAATCAGATGATGCTTGCCACTCGAAAAGTTTCGCGTAATCCCACCCCAACAAGCCACCAAATCGACCCCCAAGGTTGTTTCGTAGCCAGCTCTAGGGTAGCTACGTAGTCCTCGCAACATCACACAACACGGTAGGTATCACGAGAACGAGCGCATAATCGTCGCACCTGTCAAAATCTTCCGTCAACCTGAGACTTGTCCCTCCCCAGATCATCGAGCACAGCATGCTCTCTTCGTCACATGATATCTCCCAGCCAGTCAGCAAACCTCGCCACCAAGTCGACGGGACAAGTCTCTCATGAAAGACAGACGCCGCCTCACATCACAGACCAGTAGCACTGCACGTAACCGTCAAGGCAAACCTTGGTCGGCACGCCGCCTCAACAGGCAAACCGGCACGTCACACCGCTGCCTAACTCATATCGCCTGCCTCACGTAAGCACAATACTGTCAATGCATGAGCGTTCGATTTGACTACCTTGACAAATACGCAGCCCTGCTTGAATCATACCCGTCCCACTCCAGTGTGCACTCCTACCGCCTGCCTGCCCTCGACGTAAAGAACGGATGCCTCAGCGCTTCCGTGGGCTTGATCCGCTTGTCCGGGTTCAGCGCCAGGCACTGCTCCAGCAGGTCGACAAAGTGGTTGAGGTCCTTGGCCTCAGCGTCGCTCATGCCTGTCGACGCGGCCATCAGGCGCGTGCGCAGGTCCCGCGTTGGCTTGACCACGGCCAGCGTCCGCACCGCGGTCTAGAAGAGCACATGTTAGTAACAGGTCATATTCGTACACGAGCAATTCGCATGCAGAGGGCTGGCTAGGCAGATCCGTTTCGCGCCCCGTTGACGGGTTGCAAAAAAACAGCCTCACATCTCACACCGGTGAGGAGGGGGTGAGTCCATTGTTTCGGATCCTTCGCCCTGGTCCGCCGCCATCTTATGCAACCAGTCAGCCAAGGCCGACGATGCAGCCACCTGCGACCGTAACCGCCGCGATGCGATTTCATATTCGCACTCAATCGACTGGCTGAGATCCTCCCCCTGGCAGTGGAGATGAGGCGTGGATGCAGGGGCGTCGTCGGCGCCTAACCAGCCTCCTCACCAGCTCCGAAGCTAATGCAGGTCATGGTTCAAAATAGCCGCAGATTGGACATGTGATGGCTGCGAGTGCCTGCATATGCAAGGGAAAATACCCAATTTCACGAAAATAGACATACCTTGTTGAGAACCTTGTCGTGTTCTACGCTCACGAACTGGCCCAGGTCGTCGAAATGGCCTGCTGACAGCTGGCCGCGCTTGTACAGCTTCGGAGTGAAGCGTCCGCGAATTTCCATGATCGCCTTGAGCATCTGGTTGTTGCTGTCACCGGTAAACAGAATCTTGCCCGTGTAGAGCTCGTACAGCGTGCACCCGATCGACCACATGTCGACCCCGTAGTCATACGACATGCCGAGGATGATTTCCGGGGCTCGGTAAAATCGACTGACGAGATACGGGGTGATTTCTGTATGCGCCGTCGCCGCGTCGGATCGATCAATGGCGGTTCCCAAGTCGCAGATTTTGAGCATGTTTCGATTTTCATTCACCTGCATTCAATTAGCAAGTGCCAGCCACTTAATACACTCAACATACCAGAATGTTGTCGGGTTTTAAGTCAGCATGAATGATGCTGCACTTGCGCATGTGAGCCAATGCCACGAAGATTTGGTGCGCATACGTTCGCGTGGCGCCCAGATTGATGCCGACATTGTTGCCAAACTTGCGCAGCACCTCACGCAGGTTCATACTCAGGCTTTCAAACACCATGCACAGATGCCCGCGGTAGTCGAACGAGACTTCAAACTTGACAATGTGCTTGCGATTCTCCGGGTCTGCGTCGTTGAGCTTCTCTAGGATGGCAATTTCTGTGTAGCCGCCTTTCCGGAGAGCATCGTTGTTTCGCATGATTTTGATAGCTACCGGCATCTTTGTCGTCGTATCGAGCGCACGCACTACACCGGAGAACATACCGCGGCCGAGAGTCGACTGAATCTGGTAGCGACCGTTGATGACCTCGCCTACTCGCATCTTGTAGTAGCCATCCTTATCGTCGCCTTCGAGAATACCTCTGCCGCCGTCAACTGCCTCGTCTGCACCCTGGGTCGGCTTGGTTGCGTAGTTTTCCTCGTCAAAGTTGTCGGCAAACATGTCGAAGCCGTCATCGTCTGCGCCTTCGTCTTTGGCGCCGTCTCCATTTGACTCCTCGACGTCTGCATGCATGCCGTCCACTGCATGGCCTTGTCGGAGCTCGTCCCGCTGTTCGTCCACTTTCATGTCAACTGTCGGGTCGTAATCAGCCGCGGACGGACCGTCGTCGTCGTCTTTCGGGGCGGCGTGGCTGTTCATCAAAGCCCGGTCATCGGTGAGGTCAAGTTTTCCCGGAGACATGGCATCGTTGGATGCTGGGGATCGAGGTGATGTTATGTCTAACTTGTTAGAGGGCGGTAGTTTGTAGGCAGGCTGCAACGTACTGGACTGCGGTGTTTGCGGCGTCTCTGCGTCTAGCGTGCCATCTGACACTGCTGGAGACGCTGCGCCAACCTTTTCGGTGGCCCCGACGGCTTGGAGAAGCAAGGGTGTAGCGGAGCTCGATTTTGCAAGAAGTGCCTCGCGGCGCTTGCGGCGACGTTCAATCTCGGCCTCTTCATCAAATTCCTCTTGGTTATCATAGTCGACATCTGCATCAGCCGCAGGTTCTCTGGAGCTGGTCAGCACGCCGCTGCTGTCAAACTCTGCGAAATGCACTGACTTGAGTGCTGGATCGGTGCGAGCGGTACCAGTCTCTGCACTGTTTTTGTGTGATTTAGCATCTCTGCTTGCTGTGGGGGGTACTGGTGCCCCGGTGCTCCGTCTTGACCCAGAACTTGCCATGGTAGAGTCGCGGTCATCGTAGCTGAGACCATGATTGCGCCGGCCGTCTCCGTTTCGTCCACTGCCTTGATCGTCTTGTCGTGATCGATGGGCGGGCGAGCCTCTACGCTCGCGCCTGTCACTGTAGCCTCGATTGCGATCGCCCTGGTCGTTGTAGCGGTCCCGGCTGCGGTCCCGGCTGCGGTTCCGGCTACGGTTTGGGATGTCTCTGCCATCTAGGCGTCCGGATGACCGGTCCAAGTCGTCGTACGATACTCTTGAACGCTTGTAATCGTCACGGGAGTCGCGGGGCGCATCGCGTCGCCGGCTGCGCGCATCGTAGTCATCGCGGTCGCGCTTGTAGCCTCTCGGGGAGCGGCTTCTCCGAGCGTCGCGATCGGGCGATTCCCAGTCTGGTAGTCTATCTCGACGGTCAACGCTGCTTCCTTTTGCGCGCGTCAGTGAAGATGCCTTCAAATCGGCTCCATTAGCCTCGAAGATTTCGCCCTCGTCGGAACTCGACATGGTGGATTCGCTGTGACCCGATCTTTAAGGAAGAGCAATGGCAAGTGTCAGCACCGAGCAATCAAAGCAAGTTCAACAGGTTGTGGTCGAACCGGTCAGCGAAAGTCTTCAGCCCAAGGTCATCGATAACTGGCGTTTCGAGGCTGCGACTTAATGACTGTATGGTCGTGATGAATGGGTGGGATTTGGATGGGAGCCGTATCTGCATCGCCTTGATGATGGGTGGTGACATAGAATCTCGCGGTGGGTGAGGATGCCTGAGGATCTTCTGAAAAGCGACGCCGCTTTAGAATATGTGGGGATTTCACTTGCCAGATTAAAGCAGCACCGAATATGAACGTTTTAGGAAGGGCCTGATTCGTTGGGCTCGTGGCGGACGGCAACTAGTCTGAGTGGTAGATTTTGAAGCGGGCTTTGCTCTCGAGTCTGATTCTTGAGTCTGATTGTCAAATCCATCGAATTCTACGCAATTTACACGATTTCCATCGATTTGCCCCGTCTCGAATCCTCGAACCCCCCGCCTACACAAGCTTACATAAGGATTTCTCACGTTACACGCACACAAAGAAAATGGGCGGACCACCCAGAAACGGCATGTAATTCGCTACCAGTTTCCTGGGACGTCGCTGGTTGGCCACACCGGGCACCAGGCTGTACCAGGTTGGATTTCTATTGCATGGGCTGACACGGAGAGCACACAGATGGCAAGTTGAAGCCTCTCAAGGCAGCGAAGAAGGAGGCAAAGGTGCTCGACGACGAGGACAAGGCCCGCATCGCTAAGCAGCGCGAGGGTACGTTTCTACTGCGACCGCACGACGAACGAGAAAAAGAGACCGATCACTAACACGCGACAACACAGTTGAAAGAGAGCTCAAGGACGCGAAGAACCAGGTGGCCAAGAAGAAGGGACCGCTGAAGCTCAGCAGCCAGGGCCTGAAGAAGAGTGGAAAGAAATAGAGTGGCATCGCTAGGCGGGCGCATGCTCGTCAATAGACGACATCATACTACGGGGTGGTCTAAGCGCTGGAATTCTTTGCGACTCTCTTCAATTGATGCTTTGCGCAATTCTTCAACGGCATTATGTGATTGTTAGGTCGATGGTTACGGAGACACGAGCGCAAACAGGGCCTGCATTTGCCCCTGTCCAGGCTGCATATTGTGCTGCATTTTCACCCCGCACTGGATGGAGGCAACCCTGCAGTGATTTGGACTGATTACAGAAGCTGCGGTGCTGCGATTATTCTGCCAAGAAGAACAAAAGGTAAGAAAGTAAAGCGTGATTATCGGGGGCCTTTTTATGGTAGCGGGTGCAGACAGACAAACGCGGTTACGGTCGGCGGCGCGTTTCTTTTAAGAACAGAAAAGAAATTGCACAAATCCTTGAAATTCCAAATATCTCCCAACGGCGGCCCTTGTTAGCCTTACAGCTCTCAGCCAGATGGTCCACCTGGTCTGCGTGCTCCTCGACGTGCTCTTCCAATTCTTTGATCTATTGACCGGGCAATGATAGTATTTTTGAGATCAAGTACTGCCTATGTAGCTGCGCCAGCTACCTCTCGCTCTCAATCTTCCACCCCGCCCGTTTGATCAGCCTTCTCTTTCGTTGCGGATCCTGTAGCATCATCGCCGACAATCTCGGTAACCTCTGGCCCATCGCGGATGGGGCAGTCTTCGAAGACTGAGCTGTTCGGTGTATCGGATCCCTCGTCGTCTTCCAGCGCATCCGCCAGCAATTCCACAAACTCCAAAGTGTCAGGATCCTCCGGCCCAAGATGCTGCCTCGCCCTGTCCACGCACTCCGAAAGCACGGCCAGGGCCTTCTCCAGCTCATCCGCGTGGCTCAAAGCAACCGCGAGCCTCCGCATCGTGAACAACGTGCTCCGTTCGTTCGGCCCGAGCACATTCTTTCTCACCTCCAGTACGTGCGCGTATTCCTCCGCTGCTTCTGTCCATCTCTCTTGTTCTGCATAGACGTGGCCCTTCCAGCTGAGGCATGTCAAAGTTGACGGATCATCCCCCCCAAGGGTCTCCTGGAAGAGACAAAAAGCCTCTGTGAATGCCCCCAGAGCCTCCTCAAACTTGCCGCAGGAGACTAGATTTCGACCCAAGGCTTCGGCAGCCATCGCCGCCCAAATTCCCGTGCTATCGGGACACGAATTGTATCCCGACAGCACCTCCCTGAACTGCACTGCGGCCTCTTCAAACCTTTTGCCATCTTCTAACGTATCGGCGAGAGAATACATCGCCTCCAGCGTATCCTTGTGCTGCGGGCCGAGCCCCGACTTTCGAGTCGTCAAGACGAATCTCTGGAGGCTCTCTGCATCCACCAGTAAGCCTGCTTTTTGCTGGCACTCAGAAAGCGCGAGCATTGACTGGAGAGTCAACTCGGCCTCTGCGCCATACGCTGCTTTGCTGGTGTTAGAAACTCTCTTCAGTATTGAGATGGCTTCGGAATGGCGTTCAAGGCCGTAGGAATATATTGACGCCACATTACGAGCGATTTGGAGAGTACCCTTGTGCTCGAAGCCAAATTTGGCTTCAGAGCCCGAAAGGGCCTCTTCAAAGAGTGAAATTGCCTCTTCAAACTTGCAATGGTGTCGAAAAATTCTGGCTAGGTGGGCCATGGCGGAAATAGTATCCGGATGGGCGTCCCCGAGAGTCCTTCTGCGATATGACAATATATGTGTGCGGAATTCTTCTGCCGTGGTGTAATCTCGTTGCTTGAAGAAGATTATTGCCGCAGAATCCATGCATGTGATTGTATAAGCATGATCTCGGCCGTGCTCTGATGTTGCCCTTTCTATTACATCATGTAATACTATGATTGCTTCTTCCTTGCGACCTTGTTCATGATAATCATATGCCAAGTCGGTCAAGTTGCCAAGAGTTGCTGGGTGAGATGGACCAAGTTCTTTGGTAGACAAAACAAGAGCGGCCTTGTCCATTTCCTCAGCGTGTTCATACATGTGTTTTGACCTGTACAAGTTGGAAAGACGGGACATGCCTTTGGCTATCAGCAGGTTGTCAGGTCTAGGCGCAGATTGGGCGACCTTCAGCATATTAAGCTCTAGTTGTAGTGCATCCTCGTATCGTTCCTGGTGCTCATATGTTCCTGCGAGAACAGCCATAAACTCCAGTGTCTCATAGTCAGTTGGCCCAAAGACTCTCTTGCAAGTCTCCAACGCCGCCTGACTAATATTCTCCGCCTCTTTTGAGCGACCCTGAGCCATGTATGTTCGAGATAGGCAAGCTAGATAGGTGAGAGTCCTATGATCCTCGGGCCCGAGAGCTCGCTTGGCTGCCTCTGTAGCGCAGACTTCAAGCGTTTCTGCCTCATCATATCTGCCTTGGCGCACATATATTTCGGCGAGCGAGATCATAGCCACAATTGTTGATTCATTATCCTCTCCCACAGTCTTTCGTGCGATCTCCAGAACCTCGTTAATAATACCCTCGGCCTCGAAAATCTGATCCAATTCGAGCAGGATATCGCCTAACAACCTTCTGTACTCAAGGCAAGCCGTATGCTCAGGCCCTTTGCGCTCTCTCCATGCCGTGTATGCTTTATCTAATGGCTCTCTCGCTTCGCTACTCAGCCCGGTGACGTATCGAAGCCACGATAAGCGATTGCAGATTGCACACCAAGCACGAGTAGTTGCTTTGTTTGGGCGATAGCTAGCCGCGATTTGCATATGGACAATAATCTGTCGAAAACGGAAGATATTGTACGTATCTGGTGATGGCATCGAAATAAATACTCTGTGTATGAAGAGCTGCCTGAATCGCTCATGTCGCTTCGTTACAGCCAGCCATTTTCTCGTGGCCAGTTGAACTAGTCGATGCATTTCGAACTGGTTGCCGGCTGCGGTGACTGAGACGAGACAAAAGTTTCGCAACATTGAAACATCGTCTTCAAAACTGTCATCATCTGAGTCGCTATCCGAGTCAAATTCTGAATTGCTTGGGATTTGATTCTGTTTCTTCTTGGCGGCTAGAAGATGAAGGGTCGAGAATTCGTTGGCAAGTTCCTCTGTATCACCATTCGACTCCAGGTCCGAGTCAAAGTCGGAATCGTACTCATTTTCCGGGTTAAGAGCAGATTCGGGAATTGATTGATAGTCAAAAAAGCTCATCAGAGACAGTAGGTCGGCCGCGGATGGCTGTTTTGAGCAGATATGGTCAAAGGAGATCTGCCAGGTCTTCATGATAGCGTTTGAGGCTGACCCATCTCGCCGCAGCTCTGCAGCATCATGAGCCAGAAGCTTGGCGCTCTTTTTCTCACTTTCGCGAAACTCTACCAAATACTTTTGCATCGTACAGCGCGGTGACCGTGCCTGGATGTAGCTCGCTGCCTGGTTGATGGCGAGGGGGATGCAGTCTAGGGTAGCTACCAGCTCCGCGGCCAGCTCGGGTTCGCTAGACACACCAAGCTTCTTCTCTAGAAACAAGATGGCCTCATCTGGTGTCATGGGCCCGACCTGGATGGCGCCGCGGTAATTGCCAGTAAGTCGGACTGCGAGCCCATGATCCCGAGTGGTGACGAGGATGGCGCCATTGGGACTTTGGGGTAGGTACGATGCGAGAGGCTGGCTCTTGCCTGGTTCTGCGCCGTAGAAGACTTCATAATCGTCGGCGCTGTCAAGGACAAGCAGCCATCTGCCATTCTTCTCGTTCGAGAGCCAGGAGTACAGGAGTCGCAGGACATCAGCTTTGGGGAGGTGCCTATCAGGAAGCTTGACGGCATCAGCAATGGCACGGAAGCCCTCCTCCACGCGGGCCCTGGTGCCGGCATGCACCCAGAACACCCATGTGCCGCCGCAGCCTACATCTGCAACCTGATATGCATATTCAATCGCCAAATGGGATTTACCCACACCTCCGAGGCCGACCAGGGCCGCCCGACCACCGGGCTGAGCGCATTGGGCTTGGATTCGGCCGAGTAGGTCGCCGCGGGGGACAAAGTCCGGGTCTCGTGAGAAGGGGATCAAGGGGAAGGGTTTCGGCGTCGATTCCGGGTGCTCTTAACAAATCAGCCTACATCCTCGAACTGCAGGTGGCATCTTACCCTGTCCTTCTGCGTAATTATGGATGTGCGTTACAGAGCTGTTCCCCACGTGTATCCTGGCATTTCCGTTGGCGTTGATGTCACGCACGCTGACAGAATCCATCCTTGCAGCGCGCTTTCGTGGCAGCCTCTCGCGGCCGAACGGGTTACACAGATTTTTTTCCTACTGCGAAATCAATCTGGTCTCGATATCAGACACATGCCGGCACTCTACGCAGGATTACTGTCTTGGCCACCACCTCCCCCGCCTCTTCGACCCCGGGCGGCTAGGGAGCCAATGAGACGTGCAGCCAAGCTGGAGCTTGATCTTCACCATGCAACAAATCTAAGCAGGTCGACTTGAGGGCTCAGTTGAGAGCTGGCCCCTTTCCGGATCCTAGATGCTCTCATTCTCGCACCCAGAATGGCTGAGGTGTTTGGCACCCTATCCGCCGCGCTGAGCGTGGCGGCCCTCTTCAACAACGCTGTCGAGTGCTTCGGCTACGTCCAGCTCGGGCGGCACTACGGGCGCGACTACGAGCGCTGCCAGCTCAAGCTCGACGTCCTCCAGGCGCGGCTGACGCAATGGGGCGATTCCGTGGGCGTGCACGACGAGACACGTTTCGCACCGGCCGACGAGGCGACCATCCGCGTCCGGACCGTGCTCGAGGAAATCAGCTTGCTGTTCCAGACGGCCCGCAAGACGTCCGCGCGGTATGACATCGAGGAAAAGCCGTCTCAAAATCGTTGGCCGTTGCTGGACAACATCGTCCAGGGCGTGCTGCGGCGGAAAGGAAAGGACCGCCAGCGGGCGAGCTCCTTTCGACAGAAGATGAAGTGGGCGCTCTACGACGGCAAGGAGTTTCAGCGGCTGCTGACGAACCTGGGCGGCTTCGTCGATGATCTGGAGAAGCTGCACCCGGCCGAGAGGAGGCAGCAGCAGCAGAGCCAGCCACCGGATGCCCGCGAAGCCCACGAAGCCCAAGATGCCCGCGAAACTCAAAATTCCCGCGAACCCCGAGATGCCAGCGAACAACGAGATGCCAGCGAACAACGAGATGCCCACCCGCAACGAGATGCCCGCGATACACTGTCGGACACCACAACGGCCGTTGAAGACGAGAGCCGCCGCGACTCGGCCAAGAGCGACGAAACTCTGGTCATGGCGGTCGCGGAGAATGTCGTCGTCGAGGACAAGGCGCGGGTGCGTGTCGGCAACGAGTACTCAGCGAAAGTGACAGTTGGGACGCTGGCGGACAGACCGGGGCTGGTCAAGGCTCACACAGTCGAGGCCAAGGGGACATCGCGGGTGCAGGTTGGACACAGTTATGGGTTTGGAAGTATTTTTGATGACTGATTGATGATGGTGATGGAGGACGATGATGGATGGTGATGAGTCTAATGAGTTTGATGAGTCTGATGAGTTTGAGTTTGATGGATTTGGTGACAAAAATTTCCCTCTCTATTCGGCACTTGCTGGAGCAGAGTCTGCAAACGCATGGAGGAAGCTGTTTGCCCTCTTCGTGTCGCACAAACCCTTCTCGTCACACCCTTGGTTATTGCATGTCGAGGGTGTCTTGTGTGACGGGCGGATGCGCTGGGAGTACAGATTTATCTGTAGGCGCTGCACATTGCCGCAGCGGTGCACAAGGAGTGTCAGTTCATCCGATGGCTGTATAAGTGTGTATGAGAGCTGAAATCATGCTGGGAATATGAGTTAAGTCGCATGCTACCCCATAGCACGGGATGTTGATGAGCAAATGTGAGGAGATGGATGAGTTGATGGTGGATGAGATTGCTGGCGTTTTTTATTTAAATTTTTTATCATAGATTGAATAGATTGAATGGATTGACTCGATAGAATATACGACAATTTTGTTTGAAATTAATAGCCGTAAAATAAATCGATTCTTTGAACAGAAAGTGAAAATTTCCTGGGAAACCATACATCTTCTTACCCAGTCTCTACCTATGTATGTACATAGTGCAGGTGCTCAGTGAGCTTGGGGCGCTGGAGGAAAACTCAGTTATTAACGCCTGTAAAGCCGCGCGTCGCGATCGAATAACCCAACGGGAATAAATTAACAAAATTATCTATAAAAGTCTCTTCTTAATTGTAATGAAATTAAGTGGTGAGAAAATCCCACGCGATTCGTCATGTCCGTGGTGAGCCTCGGAGCTGGTCGTAAATCCCATGTGAGCCCCAACAAAAACGCCGACCCATCCAACAAGCAAGAAGCAGCGGCCAAGCACATACATCACCCATCGCCATCGCCCATTAAATGTCAAGGCCATCCAGCATGTCGCAAACATCGAGAAAGCCTCAATAATCTATTGAACTATCTCACCCGCTAATACACTAAGATGACCACGTCCACCGTCCGGCAGCGCCGGCCCTCCCTCACCACCTCCGCCATCCACGCCGCCTCCCAGGGTCTCCAATCCACCACCAGGACCGTCCTCCATCTCTTCGACGACCTCCCCGCCTGGCGGCGCGACAACGCCTTCATCCACGGCGGCTACCGGCCCATCCGCCCCTCCTACACTCACGCCGCGCGCTCCCTGCTCTACCTGCACAACGAGTCCGTCAACATCTGGACGCACCTGCTCGGCTGCCTCGGCGCGCTGGCCGCCGCCGCCCACATCTTCCACGTCGTCCGCCCGCGCTACGAGGCCGCCCACGCCGGGGACGTCGCCGTCTTTGCGTGCTTCTTCGGCGGCGCGGTCGCTTGCCTGGGGATGAGCGCCGCCTTTCACACGCTGCTGGACCACTCCGCCGCGGTGGCGCGCTGGGGCAACAAGCTCGACTACACGGGCATCGTGGCGCTCATCGTGGGGAGCTACGTGCCGGCGCTATACTACGGCTTCTTCTGCGAGCCCGTGCTCTTCTGGGCCTACCTCTACGTGGTGGGTGCTTCTTCTAAGAGGGAGGGAGAGAGAGAGTAGCGGACTACACTAACAAAGCCGTAGATGTGCGCGCTCGGCGTCGCCTGCGCCACCGTGTCCTGGGTAGAGCGCTTCCGCACCTCGGCCTGGCGTCCCTACCGCGCGAGCATGTTCATCGGCCTCGGGCTGTCGGGCGTCGTGCCCATCCTCCTCGGCGTCCGCCGCCACGGCTACCAGCACTACGAGGACCGCATGGGCCTCAGCTGGGTCATCCTCCAGGGCGCCCTGTACATCTTTGGTGCCGTCCTCTACGCTGTAATGTCCCCCCCTACAACCTTTTCCCGTGTACTCCCCCTCTTAATCTCAATGCAAAACGCTAACTCGCACAGGCTCGCTGGCCGGAGAGGAGCTTCCCGGGCAAGGTCGACATCTGGGGCAGCTCGCACCAAATATTCCACGTCTTTGTGCTTCTCGCTGCCGCGACGCACTTTTACGGCATGGCAAAGGCGTTTGACTACCACCATACCGGCAACGGTTCACTTTGTCCATAGCGAAGGTGTATAGATGGAGGGTTCATGTGATAGATAGATCCAGTCTAGACGGGGCTTCATGTCATCGACGGCATCGTGGTTATACATAGCAATAATACAATCACGGCATCGTTACTCGTCATCATCTTCGATAGCAAGGTCCATAATCCGAACAAGACCAGAGCCCATCGCTGCCGCCGCCCAGCAGCCGAAACCTTCATTCGGATTCCACTCCATCGTCGTGATCCTCGTCAGCGGCTCGTGTATCGCCGCCCTCGACGCGTCGCTCGCCTTGAGCACCTCATCTTCATCCTCATCTACGTTCGTCGCCGCCTTCTTCGTCTTGCCCGCCTTCCCCTTCTTCGCCGCAGGCGGCTTCTCGTACTTTGCGTGCCTGTTCCTCTCCACCTCGAACCCCTGCACCACGCGCGACGCCCCCCTCCTCCCCGCGGGTGAGTCCCTCGCGAACAGCCGCCGCGGGCGGTGCTCGTGCTGGAACAGGCGCACGCGGTACGTCGCGTCGCTGCGGCCGATGAAGTGCTCGACCTGCGGGTTCAGGCACCAGACCGAGCCGTCCATGAGTCCGATCAGCAGGAACGGGTGCGTCTTGCCCGTGGCGATGCAGGAGGGAAAACTGTCGCCAGTAAAGGTCGTACGAAACAGCGGGAGGTTGGCGTGGTGCATGAAACCGATGACCGTGTTGTTGACGCGCGCGGACGGGTACAGCGAGAAGAAGCCCAGCATCTGGTCGCTCCAGGCGAGCAGGCCCGGCTGGGTGGCCACGTTGATGGCCTGCACCTCTGTGAACTCGTGGCTGGGGCCCGCCTCTAGGTCCAGAACGCGAACGGTGCCGCCCAGCGGCGTCGCGGCCACGACGTACGGCATGCTGGGGTACCCGGTGGCGAGCTCTACGACGTGGCTGTGATGGACGGCGTGACGAGAAAGCAAGTGGCAGGGGAGGATGGACCATAGTGCGACGGAGCCGTCCGAATAGCCCACCACGAGCCGGTTCATGTTTGCCCAGCTCATGGCCGTGGCGTCGATACTAGCCTCATCTCGTAGTTGTAAGACGGAGACAGGATTGAGGAGCTCCTCTGATACAAGTTAGCCAAGATACAGCACAACAGATCTTCGCTTCTACTTACCATATTCTTCTGTTGCCTCACAATCGGCCTCAAAAACGTACACGGCACCGTCTGCGCACAGCACGGCGAGATAGCCACCGACTGGATTCCACCGTACCCGCCTCGCCCTACCGTGAGGGAAACACAAAGTCCTCGCGAGTTTGGGAGGCAGGGATGTTGCCATCGCCGAACCAGCGCCCGAAGCGTCACCCTGGATCTCCCACAGCTGTACGGTGCCGTAGGACGAAGACTGCATCCTGACGTGGTCATCGTCATGATGCTCGGAAACCTCGTGTACCTCTTGATCGGCGTGAGGCATGACCGCCATCGCAAGAAGTTGCCTCGTTTGTTCGCGAGTGCGTGGTGCCCAGTCCATGCTCGTCACGATACCCCCCGTGTCCAACATCCAGCCGCTTGGCAGGTTCTCGTTGCTCGTATCGTAGTCAAACGGGATGCCTGCGTGCGATGTTGCGTATCCACCGCCTGGGACAAACACAACTTCCTCCTTGGCATCTGGGCCGACGAGGACCGGCATACTGTGCGTCGGGAGCCTGTACGGTGCGGCCTCTGCTGGGGAGAGGCCTCGCAGCGGCGGGCGGCCAGCCATCGCCTGCTGGACTTTGGCTCTCCAGGCGGCGGCCAGCTTGCCCTCCCTACCCGCGTAGTCCTCCAACCAGGCACCCCTAGACGGCACACCCGCCTCGTCCTCCTGGGGAATCCTGGGCGGCAGCACCGGCCACTGGAACCAGCGCTCCAGAAGGGTCTGCGTCGTCTCCATGCGCTCCTCGTCTGGCCCGTACCACGCGGAGACGAGATGGCGACGGCGCACGGCGCGATCGTTGGGGCCAATGTACGCCTTGGGCTGGTGGCTGCCGTCCTGGCTGGCCAGGGGGATTTCCAGGTAGCCCCCAGCGAGCTTGGTCGTCTTCCCGGCCGTCTTGGGCGGTGGAGGCTGAGGCAACTTTCCCGCCGACTTTGCTGCGCGACGTCGTGCGGGTTTGGTGACCGCCTCACCACCGTCTGATTCGCTTATGCTTGTCTCGTCCTCCTCTGCTGAGTTGTCATCGTCTCCATGTTCCTCTGCGTCGTCCTCAGCCGCCTCATCTTCAAAGTTGGTGTCCCCCTCTTCAGTTGCGTTGAGGCGTCCGGCGCTGACCGCCTGTTCGTCAGAGCTATCTCCAAAGTGATACTCTTCCACAGCATAGCTTTTGGTGCGATTCGACCTCCTCGGCCTCATTATGTCGATGTGTTTCAGATGATGATCGTGGTTGGTTGGTGGAGTTTGCCTGGTTGGTGCTTGAGAAAGTCAATCTCTTGGTAGGCTGTGGGGCGACCAAGACAAACGGAGAGGATTTGCGTTAAGAAGCGGATATCTACCAAATAATTACTCTAAATTATAGTTCAAACTCATAAAAGTTTTTGAAGCCTTTCTTGAGCTTTCATCAACTTCTTGCGCTTTTCTCGCCCTCAGAGGCTGCTGGGTTGCGAAGTGGCGGGCACCACACACCTAACACAATATATATGCACGTTCGGCGATGCTCGTAAACGAGAGAGGACGGGACGAAACTCTGTACACCTGTGAAGGACCGAAGAAACAATCTCGTCACATCATACGAGCTTCCTATCTGCCCCATCTACCAGTTGCTTCTGTTTGCGTGCCACTGCTCCTGCTGATGCTTTCTCGGCGCAAAGTACAGCCCCGAGACGGATTGCAATCAAATCACATGAGCATCACGGAATTGTCTTGTTTATGCAACACCGGGAGGGTGGCGGTAAGATTGGCTGCCCCCTGTGCACCGTTGGCAACTAGTGGTTATTCCTCCCGTGTCGATGGATAATCACCTATTCAACGGGGCTGGCCTTGCGAAATCCTAAAGTTTTGTGAAAGAGTAACTAGACCTATCTATTACAGTGTTTCTGGTTGTTTTGGACTCACGAGGAGCTCCAAAGATTCGCGTCGTGATAAGAGACGGGATGAGTGTTGGGGGCCGCACCACCCACCCCCGGCCCAGCCACACACCGCGACACAACAGAGAAATATTGTTTTCTGCATCTCCTGATAAGACCTAGCAAAGAGAAACAGCTATACTTACACTACATAGTTTCACGAAAATGTAAAGCCTCACTCACTTTCGACGAATGATTGGCTTTCCTGTCTTCTCTGCTCGTCACGAGAGGACACGAGCTGTTCACAGCATCAAACATTTGGTCAAACTTCGTATTCTGGCCTTGCTTTCCTCATCTGATCCAATGAACAGTTGGTCTGAAGTCGGTCTGACTGCAAGTCACTCTAGTACTCTCTTGCCAATCACTCCGAATCACTCTACGAAATGACTTTGCGTCGTTTCTGCCATCACCGATCTGTGTTATCCCTCTTTAGCCCCCTCAATCCCTATATAAGCTCTCCATTCCTCCCACACTTCTCAAACCTTTTGTTGTTCCGCATCCCCCGTTGTACTGAGCTCCAGTAGGGTCAAAGGAGCAAAAAGCCTCGTTGATCTTATGAAGATCCTCAGTCAATGGGAGGTCAACTAACGTTAGCGTGGGGAGGAGAAAGAGGAGGAAGGGCTCCCGGGCACTAACTTCTCCCCGGCTCGGCCGGTCGGCGCACCGGCCGACGCTGGGGACTTTACAGGGTTATTTTTAGGTACCGAAGAAGCCGCCGGCACCGAGCCCCCGGCCAAGACCGACCCCCCCGCGGGATCGAGCCCCGTCCTCGACACGGCACTCGATCGGATCGAGCCCCGTTCCCGACACGGCACTTGATCATCGACCGACCCCCCCCCGCGGGATCGAGCCCCGTAAGTTTCTCCCATCCCTTGGCCTCTTGCTCCGGCTCATCCAAAATCCTAACTAACATCTGCTAACCTTGACTAGGTCCTCGACACGGCACTCGATCATTCGACAACCCCCCCCCGCGAGATCGGGCCCCGTAAGTTCTTCCCTTACTCAGCCCTTCATTCGGCTTATCCATAAACCTCTGATCAATACCTGCTAACCTTGAACTAGGTCCTCGACGACACGGCACTCGATCCACGACCGAACCGACCGGACTGACCGAACCGAACCGACCGACTGACCAACCGACCGGCCGAAACGACCGAAGGGCCCACGGTCGGGGGCCCTTCATATATGCGAGTCCCCCGCGCATCGTACGGGGGAGGCGTTGCCCCCGCGCATTGTACGGGGCCCCTGGTCTTTGTACTTGGGGAGGGCGGGAGGGCGGGAAACTTAGAATCCCTTCTTT